CACGGGCAGCATTAGGCACGGGCAGCACGGGCACGGGCAGCACAGGCACGGGCAGCACAGGCACGGGCAGCACAGGCACGGGCAGCAACAGGCACGGGCAGCACAGGCACGGGCAGCAACAGGCACGGGCAGCACAGGCACGGGCAGCACAGGCACGGGCAGCAACAGGCACAGGCAGCACAGGCACGGGCAGCACAGGCACAGGCAGCACAGGCACGGACGTCGCGACGAGCAGGGTGACGCCGCGCGGGTCCCGCACGGGCGTCGCGACGAGCAGCGGGGAGGGCAGCGCGCAGGCCCCCCGAGGGCGCTTCGAAGGACGGGAAAACCGCTGCGCGCCCCGAGCGCACGGCAGGAAGAAGGACTGCAGCGGAAGCATAGGGGCCCACAGGCCAAGGTAGAACGGGCTCTGATAACATGTGAAAATAGTAGAAGGTGGGGCCTAGGCTTAGTAGCCTAGGCCCACACTAGGAGATAGGTAAGTTCGAGTGGGTTAGGTGAGAGTCGAGAAATTGGAAGGGAAGTGACGTGACTAGCAAGAGTTGGGATACAAGTACATTGCCCTAAATTGGGTTGTACTCATTACAGAGTACCCCACTGCAGGCTAGACAGCAAATATATTCTGACAACAGCCACCCCTTTACTGTAACCGTCTTGTCCGTAGGATTAAATGGGGGCGGGTTGACGGGTTTTATCTTGATCGTCGTTACTGCAACTGGTGCTGCTGCCGCTCGCTGCCTGTCTTCCTCTTTGAAGTCACGTGTGAGCGCGTCCAAGGGATTGCTCACCGCTTGACTGTCGCCCTCGCCTTCGTCATCGGGCGACACCTGACACGCTTCACCTCGCGTCTGGCGCAGCTCGGCGTTTTCTTCATGCAGTGTTGTCACTTCTGCCATTAACGACTTCATGCCCTCTGGCATCTTTGGCACTTGCGCCATCAACCTGTTAACCGCCTCCTGATCCATGTGCCTAGCGCTACGTCTAGTGGGCAATCGGGTATCTGTGGCCTTCAGGCAAGTGAAAACACGAACTATCGGAGTCGCGCAGGATTGAATTAACAATCCCTGCGGCCAACCGTCGTGTAATCACTAAACCAGCCACTCCCATGCCACCAAACTACCCTCGGAAAAGCGGGGTGAACTAGGAAAGTAGCTCTAATACCAGGTGTTATGAGTTGTAAAAGAGAGAGCGCAGGTAAACGAATAACGAGACTGTGATTGAATGATATGAGAATACAATGAAGGCACAGATTATTGTAGGGACTAGCCTAGCTAGGAGGGAACCTTGGACGAGCAAGGTTGGGTGCAGGTTTGGCGATGGGAAAATGACGAAGGCGACGCGAAGAGCCTCAGCATCGTTGAAATCAGCCGAACGTGCAAAGTCCGAAAATCGGGCTGTACGCGAAGCAGTCAAACCCGATAAGGAATTTGGGAAAATTCCTTACACAAAGGTTGAGCACAGAGGCTCGGAGCGAAATCCCCCGGCTTGAGGCTGCCCCAGTTCGGTCCAGAAGGGAGATGCAGCGAGATGTGGAGAGAGACAGACTCGAGGCTTGGGGAGGGAAAAGCGGAGCTTTCAAGGCTGGGCTCGAGATGACTTCGCTTGCAGAGCATTTCGCGGTCATTGAACTCATTTCAGATCGCACAACCTCAGGTTTTGCCGTGTGTTTCCCAACCAAAGCAGTGCTGTTTGCTCCCAAGCCAATTTCGCGAGGCTGCCTAACGAGAAACGAGAATGACTAAGGGAAAGTTGGGTACAAGTACAAACCGTAGAAAGCTGTACCCCATATGTGCTACCCCACTATAGCCTACAGCAGCTATGTCATCTAAATCTGACACACCCCCATAGGCAAAGTGGGGGAGAACAAGGGGTCACAAGACCAGTCAAGCAAAGCAAAGCAAGCTCAGGGTGGATCACAAAGTCACCACACATTCCGAGCACAAGTTCAAGGCCACAAGGCCAGTTCACATGCAGGAGTACATATATATAAAAAGCTAGACAAGCAAGAGCAGGTGTATATATATATGTAACAGTAAAAACAAGGTCAAGGGGTGAGCAAGTGAGGCAAGGCAGGCACAAGACCCAGCTGAGTAAAGAAGCGCTGATGATCACAAGGCGCAAGCGCCTTGGTGAAGATATCAGCAGTGTTGGCCTCAGAGGCCACGTACACAAGGCGCAGCTGACCACGCTGCTGTAACTCACGAGCAAGGAAGTAGCGGAGAGCAATGTGCTTCGTTCTGTGCTCCAGTCTCTGCTCCCGACACAAGGCCAACATGGCCTTGTTGTCTAGGTACAGCACTAGAGGAGAATGAGGCGGCTCTCCGAGGTCAGTCAGTAGGTAGGTGAGCCAGCGAAGCTCCTGTGCAGCCATGGCTCCTGCGTAGATCTCAGCCTCACAACTGGAGCCGAGATCAGAAGACGAGCGGGTAGCCCGCCACGAAACAGAGCCGGAACCAAGGCTGAAGGTGTAACCCTGTGACGACCGCTGGGTAGCCTGGTCATTAGCCCAAGAGGCGTCTGCATGCCCAGTGAGGACCACTGGACTCTGCCCTCCAAGCACAAGCCCCATGCCTGACGTACTGCACAAGTAGCGCAACACCCTCTTCGCTGCAGCCATGTGCTCCGGTCGGTGTCTCCCAGGAGCAACATAGCGTGCGAGAATGCTAAGAGGGTATGCAAGGTCAGGTCGTGTGCAGGTCATCAGGTACATGAGGCAGCCAACAAGCTCTGGGTACGGGCCACTCGACTCTACGGACTCATCCGAAGGCAGAGCTGAGAGCGAGTGGCGAGTAGGCAGAGGAGTGGCCTGAGGCGAGGAGTACGTGAAGCCGAAGCGCTGAAGGACCTGCTGCACCATGTGTGACTGAGTCAGGGTAATGGTACGGCGTGATCTGTCCCGGGTGATCTGCAAGCCAAGGTAGTTGCGCAGTTCACCTAGGTCTGTGCACGTGTGTCTCTTCTGCAGCTCGGACTTCACGAGGGCGAGTCCAGTAGTGTCAGCTGTGGCAAAGACCAAGTCGTCGACGTACACGAGGATGTAGAACGGCGGCAAAGAAGTGTCGGTGCGCAGAAACAGCGACGTGTCGGCAGTAGAGGGAGCAAACCCAAGAGCCGCAAGTGTAGTCCTCAGTGTGTCGTGCCACTCACGCGGTGCCTGGCGGAGACCGTAGACTGGCCGCCGGAGGCTCCACTGGGTGCCAGGAGGAAAAGTCCCAGTGAAGCCAAGTGGGCGGCGCAGCCAGATCTCCTCGTGCAGGCTGCCCTGCAAGAAAGTGGTGCTGAAGTCAAGAGAGTGTAGCTCGTAGTCACGGTGAGCAGCTATGTGCAGCAGTACCCGAAGAGTGGTCATCTTCTGGTTGGGAGAGAAGGTCTGAAAGTAGTCAACTCCCTGCCGCTGACTGAAGCCACGAGCCACGTAATTCGCCTTGAAGACAGGCGGAGAACCCGGCGGCCGTTTCACCCTGAAAATCCACATGCCACTGACGATGTTCGCCCCAGGAGGGGGAACGTCGTCAACGTAGGTGCCTGTGGACTTCCAGGAAGCCATCTCTGCGTCCATAGCTGCCTGCCACTAAGAGGAGTAGGGACCCTCTATCGCCTCCGCGTAAGAGCGCGGAATCAGGATGTCAAGTGCATCCGGGTCTCCCTCAGGGGTAAGCAGTACGGACACGAGATGAGGTGAAGCAGCAGCCAAGCACTGGAACTCCTCCTACCTGTCCTCAAGGACATCCGTGCCAAGGGCACACTCACCCCCGATGGACGGAGGACAGACATACTCAGACTCAGCAACAAGACTAGCAACGTAGTCTAGACGACAGCGAGCAGCAAAGTCGAGGAGCTTAGCAACTAGGGCAGACGCAGCAGTGGACTCAAAGGAAGGGTCAGTGACAACAGTAGCAAGGAGACGCGTGACAGTAGGACTGGCAGCACGAAGAGAGTCCGACTCCGGGTCGGCAAGAGCATGAAGAGAAGACTCAGGTGGAGAAGGCAAAGGGGCACGCAGAGGAGCAGTGGACGGACGCAGAGACATCCTGTGCGTGCCAGGGACAGGAGGAGGACGCTGACGCGAACCACGACCACTAGTGCGAGTAGCACGGACAGGCGACGCAGGGCGAGACGCAGGCTCACGACGCTCAGCAAGACCTCCAGTAGGCCCAGTGTAGGGAGAAGGAGCAGGCAGTGGGGAGGCCGGCTGTAACTGTAACTGTGACAAGACAGGCTGTGGACACTCGAAGGGAGGAGGAGGACCAATAGAAGGCGGGAGACCAAGAACCTTCTGAAGGAGCGGAACGAAGTACGGCAGAGGCCGCGTAGCGACTCCAGACACAGCAGGGACAGAACCAGTACCCCCAGTGGCAGCACCAGCGCCAACAGCACCGCCAGCTCTAGCACCCCCAGCAGCTCCACTAGCTCCAGGACCTCCAGCAGCACCTGTAGCACCCCCAGCAGGACCGCCTCCAGTACCGCCAGCAGTACCCTCAGCGCCAACACCCTCAGCAGCCCCAGCTCCAGTCGAACCACGAGAAGACGCAGTGGCTCCAGCTCCAGTAGTACCCGCAGGCCCAGCAGCTCCAGTTCCCTCAGTACGAGCACCTCCGGGACCCGTGGCACCAGCACCCGAAGAACCTCCAGCTCCAGCAGCACGCCTCCAGCGCCAGGCAAACCACTCGCGCACCTCCTGTGGAGAGAGTGGCTACCGCCGAGACGAAGCACCTGGAGAACCTCCAGGCACAGCACCACCAGACGCCAGAGGAGCAGGCCCAGCTCCCTCAGGCTCTGCACCCCCAGGCTCAGCACCTCTAGTCGTAGCACCCCCAGGCTCAGCACCCCCAGGCGTAGCACCCCCAGGCCCAGCACCCCAAGGCGTAGCACCCCCAAACTCAGCACCCCCCGTCGTACCACCCCCAGGCTCAGCACCCCCAGGCTTAGCATCCACACGCTCAGCACCCCCAGGCTCAGCACCCTCAGCAACACCAAAGTCACCAGCAACCTTGACAGGCTCAACTGCGTCTACCTGGGACACACCTGAAGGGGCAGGACCCTGAGGGGGAAGGGGGTCTACCGGGGGGGGACCTGGCACAAGGAAGAGCGGTGGCGGGGGAAGGGACGGAGTGCGGTAGGGGAAGAGACGGTAGTAGGGGACCGACTCGTCAAACGTGACGTCCTGGGAGGACAGAACACGGCGAGAGGTGGGGTGGTAGAACTGCCACCCTGGCGCGTCAGGGGGGAAGCCAAGGAAGACGCAGGGAGCAGCATGAGGGGACAGCTTGTCCGCAGACAAGTCGCGGACAAACGCCCGAGATCCCCAGACACGGAACGCAGACGCATCGCCAACCTTCCCCGTCCACAGCAAAGCTGGGGAGGTCTCCGGCATGGAGACCCTGGGGTGAAGGTTGATCTGATGCGCCGCGTACCGAACCGCAAACGGCCACAGAAGATTGGGGGCAGCCGCATGCATCATGGACGTACGGGCGACGTCCATGACCATGCCAATGAGGCGCTCACCAATCCCATTTTGCTGTGGAGAGTCCGGAAGCGTGAAGGTCAGGCGGATGCCTCGTGCATGACAGTAGGCTCGCAGAAGGCCAGAGGAGAACTCTCCGCCTCTGTCAGAGTGCAGACGCAGAACAGGAAAGTTCGAGCCGAAACTCTGCCTGAGCTGGAGACGAGCTGCGCGGATCCAGTCGATCAACACCTCAGTGAAATCACCCTTGCTGCGCAAGGGGAAGACTGTGGTGTAACGCGAGTAGTCATCAACCACCACCAGGAAGTAGCGCTCGTGACCCTGTCCACGGACGCGGGCCGGGCCCCACACGTCCATGTGAAGCGTCTGCAGCGGGGCCTCTGTCGAAGGAAACTGGGAGGAGTGAGGGGCAGCCCGCTGCTGCCCCTCGGCACAGGGGATGCATGTAGGGGCAGGCCCCGGAGGAAGGGGAGGGAGGGACCGGGGAAGACCAGAGACAAGGACACGGGAGGCCATGCCTCGGAAACGAAGCAGGGAGGGGTGACCAAGTCGGTGGTGCCAGAGGAGAGACTCGTGAGACAGTAAGCGACACGGGCAGGGGGCAGACTCAGGACCAGACCTGGACGCCGCAGCAAACACCTGACCCGACGCAGCTACCTGACCAGACGCAGTGACTGGAGGAGACTCAGTGGTCAGTGTGTACAGGCTCGACCCCGGCCGAGGTGTAAACGTGGCCAAGTGTCGGCCCGACCGAGCGTCCGTGCAGTGGGTCACCCGCTGGCTCGCAGGAGTGAACTGGTGAACCCCCGCATCCTGTAGGTCAGCACCACTCACCAAGTTCGTAGAGAACGAGGGGAGGTAAAGACCAGACAGGGTGCCAGAGGGGGCCGCCGGACACGGGAGGATAGTGGAGAAGTGAGCAAGGACAGGACCCCCAGAGGGGTCTGCCAGAGAGACTGCAATTGGCCGACCAAGCGGCGTGAGTGTGGTGCGGTCTCGAAAGGAGCGAGAAGCCCCCGAGTCAAGGGTGAAGGTGTGGGAGGCCGAAGCCGACGCAGTACCTGAGAGAGCGGACTCACCAGCACCTGAGGAGGCAGACGCACTAGCACCTAGAGCAGCAGCCTCGCTGGCACCTAGAGCAGCAGCCTCAACAGTACCTGAAGCAGTAGTCCCAATGCCCGGGTCGGGCGGAAAACACCGGTAACAGTCACCCTCATCACTAATAGTCACAGCATACATGGCAGCAAGAATTGCATCAAAGTCCAGGTCAAAGATAGCTACTCCCGCCCTAGACAGCTCGCCCCAGCGAGGGATCTCAGTGGCCTCAGGGAACTGGTGACGCCAAGCGTCCGTCAGGCGGCCAAAGCAGCGCTGAGTGGAGTGCGTACCCTCGCACTCCTCACCAGCGCGGTCGCCGGTGCGGAGAACGTAGGTGCAGGGACCCGTACCCCCACCGCGCTGACGCGCAGCATACCACTCACGAAGCTGCTGAGGGGACAGGGTCTCACGACTGCGCTGCTGCTGCTGGCGCATACCACCACCGGAGCCACTCCTCAGCGAAGAGCCGCGACCAGGTCCACTGCTGCCGCCGCCGCCTCCGCCGCCTCCGCCGCCTCCGCCGCCTCCGCTACCTCCGCTACCTCCGCCACCGCCACCGCCTCCTCCGCCACCACTGCTGCCACCGACACCTCCACCCCCGCCACCACTCCCACCACCACCCCCACCCCCTCCACTACCTCCACCACCACCTCCACCACCCCCGCCAGCCCCTCCAGCGCCCTTGCCCCCCTTGCCCTTGCCGGTGCGGCGTCTCCCGCTAGGGGCAGACGAAGCGCCGACCGACTCGAAACCAACGAGGTCGATTGCAGCAGTAGAAGCAACAGAAGGCAAGAGGGGGGAGGGGGAACACCCCTCAAAGACGGAGGTGCGAGGGTCACCACAAGAGGCTCCTACAGCGACTATGCTTTTCTCTTCTGCTAGGAGGCCCTTCTCGAGGAGGTCAACGGTGAGAGTGGTGGGGCAAACTGAGAGGAAGTGGTCCCTGACGACGCGAAGAGAGTCAGGGAGCCGGGTGACTATGTAGTAGAGGGTGATGTACATGGGGGGGGGGGGGGGGGGGGGGGGGTTCTTGGCGCAGAACTCAGCAGGAAGCGCAGCGCGGTAGCGAGTGTCACTAGTGCGGAGGTGTGTAATGAGGTCAGCGACTGTGGGAAAGGCAGCAAGGTCAAGGAAGAGGTACGGTAGCATGAGGCGGCTCAGTGCAGCAGTGGCAGGGGAAGAGTAGCGTGCAACTACAGCGTCGTACAAGGTCTGAGCACTCTTGTACTGGCTAAATGGTGCACGCTCAGTGGTCGGTAAGTGGCGACGCACAGCAAGGCGAGCAGTAGCATCGCGTGTGGCCCACTGTGAGCGAAAAGTGGCGTCAGCATCAGCAGCAGGGGCAGGAGAGGCACCAGAAGTGAGGTCAAAGAGGGAGAGATCGTCTGCCCTATCGCACTGTAGGAACAGCTGGAGGTCATCGACCGAGACCTCAAAGTCAATGGCACGGCCCTCAGCATCCAAAGTAAGAACACTGGGGGTAGCCATGACTTCAGTGGCCTAGAAGGAAGTGAGCTCACCAGTCCGAGGAAGGAGGACCGGGGAGCACCGGTAGGAACAGCAGCGGCTCGACAGTAGGGCGGCTCGGCGGCTCGGCGGCAGGGCGGCTCGGCGGCAGGGCGGCTCGGCGGCAGGGCGGCTCGGCTGCTGGGCGGCTCGGCTGCAGGGCGGCTCGGCTGCTGGGCGGCTCGGCTGCAGGGCGGCTCGGCTGCTGGGCGACTCGGCGGCAGGGCGGCTCGGCTTCCGAGCTACTCGGCGGCTCTGTCGCTGGGCGGCTGAGCGGTGACAGGGCCGCTAGGGGAGGGCGACGGGGCCGCAGGTGAGGGCGACGGGGCCGTAGGTGGCGGCGAGGCCGCAGGTGGCGGCTGCGTGGCCGCAGGTGGCGGCGACTGGGCCGCAGGTGGTGGCGACGGGGCCGGTGGTGGCGGCGACGGGGCCGCACGTGGCGGCGACGGGGCCGCAAGGGGCCTAGACGGGGCCGCGGAGGGGCCATAAGGGGCCTAGACGAGGCCGTTGCAGGGCCGCAAGGGGCCTAGACGGGGCTGCCGAGGGGCCTAGATGGGGCCGTAGCGGGGCCGCAAGGGGCCTAGTCGGGGCCGTAGCGGGGCCGTAAGGGGCCTAAACGGGGCCGTAGCGGGGCCGTAAGGGGCCTAGACGGGGCCGTGGAGGGGCCGTAAGGGGCCTAGACGAGGCCGTAGCGGGGCCGCAAGGGGCCTAGACGGGGCCGTAAGGGGCCTGAAAGGGCGTCGCGAGGGGCCGATAGGGGCCGTGCGAGGGCCTGCTGGGCGACGCGAGGGGCCTTAAGGGGCCGTAAGGGCGGCGCTAGGGGCCGTAGAGGGCGGCCAACGGGGCCGTGAGAGGGGCCACTAAGGGCGGCTCGAAGCACACAGAGCGCGACTCAGCCAGGAGTGAAGCGCGCTCCGGGCAGGAAAGAAAAAAGGTATCGTGGTGGGCCCTAGGTAGCGTTCCCACTAGGGAACCTGCTCGATACCATAACGAGAAACGAGAATGAAATGACTAAGGGAAAGTTGGGTACAAGTACAAACCCTAGAAAGCTGTACCCCAATGGTGCTACCCCACTATAGCCTACAGCAGCTATGTCATATAAATCCGACACTGCCCGCACCCGAGATTGTCGCCGGAGCCGTTGATCTCCTTGACGAAACTGTGGCTTGGTTGGGCTAACCTCAGTTTGGCGGAAGTCATGAGCCCTGGCCCCACAACCAAGCACAGAGGCTCGGATTGAATTCCCCCGCAACCAAGACAAACTCCAAACTTTCAGGTTTCAGGCCTTGAGAGTTCCAAACCACAGCGGGCCTGGCATACCAAGGTCCCTGCTTAGCTACGCACCCCCTTATTGACATTCTCGAACATTGATGTAGTGTAAGTCCCTCTCATTAATGTTGCAATATTTCTTCAATTCTGGGTACACACTATTATACACCTCAAAACACAACCTGAACATGATACTCATAGTACGGAAACACATCACTATGCACCTTGTGAACTCAAAAAGGTGGGTTCGCGTGGCTCGGGGTCAGGTCTGTAGACAGTGCGATGGGGGGTTGAGGGTTCATTCCCCCAATCGATGGTGTCCCAAGGGTCGCGATGCCGCAGAACGTTAGGTGGAGGTAGCGCGGGTGTAGGGCGGCGCGGGGGGCGACCAAGAGGAATAACAGAAGCAGCGAGAGGTTCTACCTCTGCTTCTTCTTCCCCCCCTTTGTTCGCGGGAAGTTCCCCAGCCTCCGCCGGAAGTGCCCAGCCGCTTGTCTAGTCACCAATTGCAACGCCCCATCCACCGGTGTTGCTCGTTTCCCATCCGCCGACGCTTTCCAACCCCCCTTCATTGGAGGCGCTCTCCTTTGTGAAAGAATTACGAGGGATGATTGACTAGGAAATGAGTTGGGTACAAATATGTAACCCTAGTAAACTGTACCCCATACTGTCTACCCCACTACAGCCTAGAAAGACTATAGCATGAATGTTTGACACACCCCCATAGGCAAAGTGGGGGAGAACAAGGGGTCACAAGACCAGTCAAGATGACCTGGTTCCATACGAAGTTCGCATCTCTGACGTGGTTAAACGTGACTTGCAGCCGACCATAGCGTGTGCCAGAGAAAAAGGTCGCCGTGAGCTCCTGGTAGGTCGTTGTCTGCAGCACATCCGGAGTTAACTGGTCCTTCGAGTCACCCAACAACGCAGCAATCGTCACAGCCGCGCGCTTAACCTCTGCTTTCCTGAGGATCGGCACCAGCAAGGTTAGTGAGAATCGCTTCAAAGCCAAAGCACTGGAAAGCGAAGCAGGTTCCAGGTGCTCGTCCGAGCCATCGCTCAGATACCCATCGTCCTCATCCTCAGGGACCGGATCAGACAAGTCATCTTCTTCATCATCCTTATTGCCTGTATCAGCAGCACCTTCCTTCGCCGAGCCCTGGTCTTGTCCTTCAGAATCAGCCTCGTCAACAACGGTACCGTCACCAGGGTCAGCAACATTATCCGCCTTGTTTTGCAGATCTAGCAGGTATTCGAAAGGACCAAACACGGCAGGCGTCGCTGGTGAACTGGGCCGACTCTTGTCAGCAGCGTCAGGCACGGGTACGTCAGTTACGTTCGTCGCATGCTCCTTTCCGCGGCCACCTTCCTCCGTCTTCTTGCCAGCTTTGTTGTTACGCGACTTCACCATTGTGCGATGATGAGAGAAGCTTGACAGCCTGAGACTGGCTGTAGGACAAGCTGATCTGAGCACCAATATCTCCAGTGTCTTATATCTCCTGTGTTTAAAAGCGAACCTCTGCAGGTCCAGACCCGAGGCGACAAGAGCAACCATTGGGACTGGCCCACACCCTCGAGGAGAGTTATCCTTGGGAAATGATGCGTCGATTTCTGGGGTGTCATTGATGTCGACGCGACTGGATGGAAACGGTAGTAATGGCGCGCGATAGTATCCATGGAGAGGCTTGAAACCTTGATTGTTGTCGTTCAAAGTAAGCTTGCTGGATGTATATTGAAGCAAGGTCGACAGCCTGGAACTCAAACAAATGGTGGTTAGGTTCCCGTAATGAACACTAAAAGAGCACCATTGTAAAGAGCCTGTAACCGCGCGTCGCCTGGTAACTTCAATGTTGGCATCAGGAAAGAAATTGATGGACATTGGGGTAGTTAAAGCTGGTAACTTCAATGTTTCCTCCGTAGCGCGCCGTGCATCAAAATACTAGATGCGGCAAATCATGATGCAACGCGTTGAAACCTAGATGGTGGTGTGCACTGGAGGCTTAGACTAAAAGCCAGTGAGCTGGAGGGTGTGAGACGTGGAGATAGTGAGCCGGGACGGGAGGGAGGGACTAATATGCCTGCTCGCTTTAATGGGAGGGACTGTCAATGCACGAGCACGTCTATAAGGGGGTTTGTAGCTCGGCAGGGACCTTGGTGTGTCAGGCTGGCTAAGGTTCGGAGCACTCAAGGTCCGAAACCTCAAAGTTCGGGGCCAGTCTCGGTTGAAGGGAAATCCGCTCCGAGCCTCTGTGCTTGGTTGTGGGGTCTGGTTTCGTGACTTCGGCAAACGAGGGACTCGCTTGTCCGCTGAGATATAGTCGGAGGTAGCCCAACCAAACCACACGGCAGAGCAAGTAGGAGCCTACAGCTCCGGCGACAATCTCGGGTCCGGGCAGCCTCGCGAAATTGCCTTGGGTACTAAACGCACTGCTTTGGTTGGGAAACTTGCGCTGAAAGGGTTCCAAGCCTACCCAAATCTCGGGTGTCCGAAATGAGTTCAATGTTGTTCCAACCCTACCCAACCGTTCTACAATGACCGCGAAATGCTCTCCAACCGCAGTCATCTCGAGCCCTGCCTTGAAAGCTCCCCGCGGCGCAACACCCGCCTTTCCGTGGCTGCGATGTTCCGCCTTTCCCTCCCCAAGCCTCGAGTCTGTCTCTCTCCGCATCTCGCTGCATCTCCCTTCTCCCCCCACAGCAGCACATCTGCCAACACCAGCCATAAGTCTGCCTACAAATCCGCCATGCCAGCCTGATCTCACTCATCACAAGCTTCTACCCTGCTCGTCGTCCAAGTTCTGTTTGCTTCCTCGTTCATTCACTTCGAAATGGCCTCAAACTACCCTTCGTTTGTTTCCGCGCTTAGCTTTTGGAAGAACAGCGAGAAACAGGCAAACTCGTGCCTGCAGCGTGCGAGTTCCAACAGCAGCACCAATCTCGTACTCCCAACCATCGCTGCAGCGACACTGCTGCTAGAGCTGCCGGCGGTGACGTCGGATGCTCCAGGATTGTCGGACGCTGAAGCATCGCATGCTGAACCGTCGCATGCTGAAGCGTCGCATGCTGTAGCGTCGCATGCTGAAGCATCGCATGCTGAAGCGTCGCATGTTGAAGCGTCGCATGCTGAAGCGTTTGATGCCACCGAAGCGTTTGATACTGCCGCTTCGAATGCCGAACCGTCCGACGTTGGAGCTTCGGAAGCCAAACTTTCAGAGCCTGCAGCGCAGGACGCTGAAGCGTCGACTACCAGATTGTCGGATGCAGCCGTTTCAAATGCTGCATCAGTCCCGCTCATTTCACTTCCAACGGCTGCTTGCGCGAAGTCAGTGAGTATGGTCTTACCGTCGCGCATCCCGAAACCAAGCAAGGGAGCAGCGATACGGCTAGTGGAGGGAACGACACTGATTCCCAGGCCTAAGTGTGCCACACCGCACACGGAGGTGAGCGGAGTGGAAGTTGAAGCTGCAGGCAAGCGGCCTCGCAGGACGTCCAAGGCCGTGCCGGCTGCAATCCCACGCCGGCCATGGCGCCCTTGACTGCTGCACGCATGGAAAGAAAAGAAGGGAAAATATGGCGAAAAAAAGAAAAAGAAAATAAGCTATCACTGAAATCCTTGAAAAATAAATTGATGAGAATGGAGGTTGAAAAGAGGAAAGCTTGGGGTATGAGATGGAGGGATGGCATGAAAGGCATGTGAAAGGCACAGCACAGCTACACGCCGAGAGCACCGACTGGGTGATGGGTGTGGTGTGGATGGGGAACACGGTGGCACTACCTTTATTGCGCCCTGCTTCACAGCAGGGTGTTTGTGGGAGTGTGGTGGGTGGTTGATGGCTGGAGGGGGTGAGGGAAAGCTGTTGTGCTGCTGTGCCTTCAACGACACCTCCAGGCTTGAGCGCTCCTGACGGATGGCTCCAGGCTTGAGCGCTCCTGACTGATAGCTCCAGGCTTGAGCATTATAGGAAAATAGGCAATATGAAAACCAAGTGCTGTAGATCCTGCCTTTAATAAATCTGTAATGCAATGTGAAGCCTTGCAATGCATGCCCACTTGCAATTGCTGATTGGATATCGTCGTTTAATACAGTGCTTCAATAAACCGCCATCTACCTGTTTCCCCATGTCATCCTATTAACCCATCTCTCCCTGTTTCATCATGTCTCCCTGTTCTCCATGACTCCCTTCTTTCCCATGTCTCGCCATTTCCCTGTTTCATCATGTCCCACTGTTCCTTCCTATTTCCCCATGCCTCACTATTTCCCCATGCCTCACTATTTCCCCATGCCTCACTATTTCCCCATGCCTCACTATTTCCCCATGCCTCACTATTTCCCCATGCCTCTCTGTTTCACCGTGTCTCCCACTCACTCCCTGCATACCTGCTTCGTTCCCCGTGCCTCCCTGTTTCCTGATTCCCCATTTCTCCCCGATTCACCACGTCTCCCGATTTCCCCAAGTCTCCCTGTTTTTCCCCATGTTCCCCAGGTCTCCCCGTTTCCCCCATCTCCCTATTCCTCGAGCCCCCCTGCTTCCCCATGTCATTCATTGCTTCCCATGTCATTCACTGCTTCCTCATGTCATTCACTGCTTCCCATGTCATTCACTGCTTCCCATGTCATTCACTGCTTCCCCATGTCATTCACTGCTTCCCCATGTCATTCACTGCTTCCCATGTCATCCACTGCTTCCCCATGTCATTCACTGCTTCCCCATGTCATTCACTGCTTCCCATGTCATTCACTGCTTCCCATGTCATTCACTGCTGGCCATGTCATTCACTGCTTCCCCATGTCATTCAATGCTTCCCATGTCATTCACTGCTTCCCATGTCATTCACTGCTTCCCATGTCATTCACTGCTTCTCTATGTCATTCACTGCTTCCCCATGTCATTCACTGCTTCCCCATGTCATTCACTGCTTCCCATGTCATTCACTGCTTCCCATGTCATTCACTGCTTCCCATGTCATTCACTGCTTCCCATGTTATACACTGCTTCCCATGTCGTTCACTGCTTCCCATGTCATTCACTGCTTCCCCATGTCATTCACTGCTTCCCCATGTCATTCACTGCTTCCCCATGTCATTCACTGCTTCCCCATGTCATTCACTGCTTCCCCATGTCATTCACTGCTTCCCCATGTCATTCACTGCTTCCCCATGTCATTCACTGCTTCCCCATGTCATTCACTGCTTCCCATGTCATTCACTGCTTCCCATGTCATTCACTGCTTCCCCATGTCATTCACTGCTTCCCCATGTCATTCACTGCTTCCCATGTCATTCACTGCTCCCCTTGTCATTCACTGCTTCCCCATGTCATTCACTGCTTCCCATGTCATTCACTGCTTCCCCATGTCATTCACTGCTTCCCATGTCATTCACTGCTCCCCTTGTCATTCACTGCTTCCCCATGTCATTCACTGCTTCCCATGTCATTCACTGCTCCCCTTGTCATTCACTGCTTCCCCATGTCATTCACTGCTTCCCATGTCATCCACTGATTCCCATGTCATTCACTGCTTCCCAAATCATTCACTGCTTCCATGTCATTCACTGCTTATCATGTCATTCACTGCTTCTCATGTCATTCACTGCTTCCCATGTCATTCATTGCTTCCCCATGTCATTCACTGCTTCCCCATGTCATTCACTGCTTCCCATGTCATTCATTGCTTCCCCATGTCATTCACTTCTTCCCCATGTCATTCACTGCTTCCCATGTCATTCATTGCTTCCCCATGTCATTCACTGCTTCCCATGTCATTCACTGATTCCCATGTCATTCACTGCTTCCCATGTCATTCACTGCTTCCCATGTCATTCACTGCTTATCATGTCATTCACTGCTTCCCATGTCATTCACTGCTTCCCCATGTCATTCACTGCTTCCCATGTCATTCACTGCTTCCCATGTCATTCACTGCTTTCCATGTCATTCACTGCTTCCCCATGTCATTCACTGCTTCCCATGTCATTCACTGCTTCCCATGTCATTCACTGCTTCCCATGTCATTCATCGCTTCCTCATGTCATTCACTGCTTCCCATGTCATTCACTGCTTCCCATGTCATTCTCTGCTTCCCATGTCATTCACTGCTTCCCATGTCATTCACTGCTTCCCCATGTCATTCACTGCTTCCACATGTCATTCACTGCTTCCCCATGTCATTCACTGCTTCCCATGTCATTCACTGCTTCCCATGTCATTCGCTGCTTCCCATGTCATTCACTGCTCCCCGTGTCATTCATTGCTTCCCCATGTCATCACTGCTTCCCATGTCAGTCACTGCTTCCCATGTCATTCACTGATTCCCATGTCATTCACTGCTTCCCATGTCATTCACTGCTTCCCATGTCATTCACTGCTTCCCATATCATTCACTGCTTCCCCATGTCTTTCACAGCTTCCC